TGTAATAAAGTTCCATATGTGGGTGGGAAATCACCAAAGCTACTTTCAAAGCATACTTACAATAATAACTTTTATGTAATAATTAAAAAAAGAAGAATTAATTAATAAATAAACATATTTGTTCGTGTATTGTATGAGTTAGATAGATATTTTAGGTAAAACTAAATCTAAAAATCGGTTTATTAAAGTTAAGCCATCTACTCTCTAATGTCTTAAACTCTTACTCTCACATACATTTATAATGTATGGTGTTAAAAAAAAAAAAAAAAAAATTAAAAAAAGACAAAAAAAAAAAAACCAATTACAACAATAAAAATAATAATAATAACATAAGCTCATATCTCCTCCACCGACAAAACCATGCAATTAAATTGTTATCGTACACTACACAGACACCCACACATACAAACAAACATATTTTCCTAAATAAATTATTTTAGCTAATTACCACAAATGTAATCAAAACTATGTGTTCGTCATGTTTTGTTTTCTAATGTGTTTATCTGCATAAATTATCCTATTCAAGCTGATTTCACATTTTAATATATATCTGTAGCGATGGGATTTAGTCGCAAATGCTACGCTTATACTCTACATCTAGGACGGGGCATATATGTACCTTGTCGAAACGCTTCAGAGATCCTGTGGACTATATATGTCAATATATATGAGGATGTCCGTCCATCCACTTTGTTGTCTTTGTGGCTGTAAATATTTCGAACTCTTGATCAATGTCAAATTCTAAATTGAGTCATCTCCGTCCGCTTACCTTCTCTCTCTATCTGTGTCTGTGCATGTTTTCACCAATCTCATATCCGAAATTAATCGAAGCATGTTCGCCCTTCTGTCCTTTTGTCATTGTGCCTCTGAATAGTTCGAATCCCTAAATGATCGAAGCATGTCCGTCCGTCCGTCATTTCATCTTCATGCCAGTGAATATTTTGGGCAAAAACATTTGCACTTCACGCGCAGAAATTGGTATGGAAAATTGCCAGTGTTCTTGAAGTCGAAGAAAAGTTACTATTCTATGGGGCGTCTCTTTACGTATTCGAAAGGATACCCTTACAAAATGGAAACAACGGATCCTTTCTCAGCAGGTATTTTTATTTTAAAAGGCTGTGCAAGGTCTGATGGTATTTCTACCTTTAAAACTAATTAAACAAGACGCTTGGGTCATCATCTTCAATTAATAACGAGCATCAACAGTTTGCCATTAGGAAAAAACATAATAATAAATTTTGCAGCAAAAAACTTTATCGGTCAATGGACGTAAAGGAATCAATCGATTCATTAATATTTTTGTCTTTGGGCGTATACGCAATGCAGTTAAAACTTTATCCCAAGAACTGTCAGAGAATGATTTTAAATTAATTTTTCATATTGAAATTGAAACATTATGGTCAGGGGAGGACAGCTACTAAATAACCTAAGCCACCATTTCCTGCACAAATCTTCATTATATTGGGTTGACAGTGATCCCTCCACCGACCCATTTTCGCACTTTATCAACTTTGCTTGGCCAGCCAAGTCGTGCTGCAACGATCTGAACAAATGGCATCATGTCTTTTGAGTACACTGGGTGTGGCAGAACATCCCATTCGAGCTGAAATGGCATTTTCAGTCAATTCGTGCCCCCACTTTTAAACCGATGAACCCAAGGCCGACAATCGGAATATGATGGAGCAGCATGGCCATAAACCTCTGAACAAAAACTAATGAATTTGGCAGAAGAAGAATTTTAGCGTCTGTGTACGCTGAACAAATCAATAATGTTAAATGGAGAAGTGTTATTTGATGTTGAGGAAGATCGAAAACCATTGAATTCAATCGTTATGTGCACTGGTATTTCCCATTTCTTTATCATTTTTAACCGTAGAAGCTACTGATCAAAATTGTTGCAAACACCTAATAGTTAAATTAATTTATCGAAAGTATCCTATGTATTTTTCTTTAAAGAACCATAACGACACTCGAACAAATTTGGATACAAAAACATTGAAATTATTCGAATTCTGCTGCTTTACCCCCCATTTGGAGGATGATTTTAAAGTTTTTACCTCTACTAAAAGGCAAATTTGTTTATCAGAATAAATTTTTTTTATTTTTTCCACTACTCTGCGATCACCATGCCTTTCAAAGTTCAAATATTCCTCTTAATTCTTATTCCCCGATCATTTTTGGCCCCAAAATGCCTCCACGCTTTACATATGGCAAAATGAAAAAAAGGACAAGAAAATATGCAATTCTATAGCTGACTTCATAACAAACTGCAAGACTTTGAAATCGCTCCGAGCCTCATATTTACTCAAAGATCGTATTGATGAATCTATTCACACGTTTTTCTTTTTTTTTTTTTGGAAATCGGTTAAATCAGTACAAACATTTTCCAAAGACATCGGTTGCTATATTAGGAAAGCTCGTAATCACCAGGCAAAACATTGGATTGTACCCGCACAGCTCAGTTTCATTCGACAAATACGGAGTTTTCTGAGCGCTTCGAGGAAAAACGCGAAATTTCAAGGGAAAAATACTTCTAAGGCAACGAATTCCTTTCCACCTTTTCTAGTAGGTCCAAAGCATCTCTAAAGCCAATGCACAAAACAAATTTTTTTTTCGAAAAATGTTCAAAGGTAAGGTTAAGGTAACTTTTTACAAGCACCGCTACTACATGCTTGGTGTTATAATTAACAAAAAAACTATCCAAGTCACAATAGTTCTCAATGCTCGCAGTATTCCCATAGCTTCGTTGAAAACGTTAAAAAAAAAAGTGATTTTTATTTTCGATAATTTCTTTGCAGAAACAAAAATTAATAAAAGTTGGATTTGAAAAGTATTCACTTCTTCTTCCTACATATTTTATATACGAATTGTTTTCGTAAAGCTGAGCTTAGTCTATAATTCCCATTGTCATGAAAAGTATCCTAAAGTACAGATTTGAGAATGTTACAATATATGCACACGTAATAGGCCTACCGGAAAGTTTTATCCGTTTTTAAAACAAAACGATGTCCCAGTTCCCGAATGTAGTCTAAAGTGTTCTTTTGAGCTAAACTACGCCTTTCCACACTGCCCGATGCTGTCAAAAAAGGATTGTACACCAACGTCATCTTGAAGGCATCATCGTCAAACAAGAAGACGATCGACCAGAGATCGAAATCACTTATTTCAAATTTTTCAAACCTTCACCCAATAATCTCAACAAATTTCGACGTACTTCTGTAGCATTTCTTCGTACAAATACTGCGGCGTAAATGAATGTTGTAAGCAGCTGTAGATAGACGATCACGTCTCACCTTTCTTTTTTTACTGTGACAAACCGCTCAGATAATGTTGCGTTATATGTGCGCGCACGGTGGAAATCAGTGACGGTTATCGGGGGAAAGGCGTGGAGAAAGGGAGTAGTGTTTGTGTTCGACTTGAAAATGGAGACGTGATATACGAAAGTAAAAAAGACTACTATTGATAGGTTATTCTAAATGCGGGCAATACGCTTGCAAAGCGACAAGTCGCGGTTGTCTTCTGTGCGATATACAGGTACCGCAGGACGAGTGGATGGGAACGTTGAGGAGCCCATGTAGTCCTATTAAATGACTCAAAAGCTGGACAAATCCTTTTCATCTCGGAATGTCCTTTACATAAACGCAACATATATCCATGTTTATCTGGGTAGGTAAGAACCGCGACAAATTCAATGTTCGCCGATTCAAATCTCAAGAGCGATAGAGTTTTCTTTGGTCGTAGCTATAGCGAATGTTCAGTCGCTAAAGACATAATACTTAGTGATTGAGCACATACCCACTGGGTTGTGGTGATCACCTCCCTATTACTTTCTCTTTCCTCCTTTTCTTTCTGACCGTCACGAATTTGTTACACGAATAGATGGTAACCTCTGAGTGATTGGTCATAGCACATCTTGATGCTCAAGGGTATGGAGAGTTTCGGATACACTTTCGCCACCCTTGAGCGTCTGAGCCTTCCGCTATATGCGTTCAACGGCCTCCCAGCAAAGTTTGGGCGCTTCCGTCAACATTGTCGAGAATTTTGACCGAATATAAGCGACGTAAATGGCACAGCAATAAAGAATATTTTGCACCGTAAACACATGTTCTGTCTAACGAACATCGATTCTCTCGCGCTGAAACTGACCCTTAATGCTAACATGGGTCATCTTCGTTTCAATTCCTTTGTTAGGTCAGTATGTACATATTCAGTCTTAGAAAGAGAAAGCTAAATATACGTCAGAGAAAGATGCGCATACTTGTTCAAAGTTGTTGTAAACGGAGCGGGAAGAAGTTTCCGGTAGACCTTATATATAGATAATACATAAATATATGTATGTATATACGTATACATGCGTATGAATTATAATTAATTTGACATGTTATGCATATCAAATGAATATATTATTAATATATATTAATTTAGTTCTTCATAGTAATTTTTTATACACAAAAATACAAATATTTACGATATATTTCATATTTATTATATTTAATTGTTCATATATATATATAAATATTTATGGGTGTGTTTATTATTAATGATATAAAATATGAATTAAAGTCACTATGTTTTTTGTCCTAAAATGTTTACGCATACATTGGCATGCGTATGGGTTTATGTATATCTAACACGTGTTTATTACTACCTATGTATATATTTTTGTTTACATACATTGCATCTGTACATTTTCTAAGAAAACAAGGCAGACCAAATTAATAAAAAAAAAATAAAAAAAAAAGGAATGAGAGATTTTATTTATTATCACAATTGAACACGAATTAAAGCAAAAGTGATAATGTTCAGGTTTAAACAACTATGCGATGTCTATTAAAAACACGATGTCAGAGATAGCTAATGCATTTTCGGAAAAGGGAGATCGGTGTGGCATAAAAAGTATTTTGTTTTTTATTTTTGAATTCTAGAAAAATCATATCTCAACTTTATTCGGCGAAGATGTGTGCATTTTATACATATATATTGTTTGGGCGATCTCGGGGTAATTTGTATTTGTATAAGACATGGCTAGTGTATAAGGTATTGCGTCTAACGTACGTAAACATTAAAATGAATCGCACTTTAGTTGCAACACTAATACAACCGCATTTATTCTTAATTAATCAGTCTTTATCCAAAGCTAATCCAAGCGGTTGCATAATTTATTTATAAAATTAAAATATGGCATGTATTTATTTGCACCAATTAGGCACACGTGAAAGGTAACGTATTACGGCAATCAGCAGCCAAACAAATTGAAACAATTTTAATGGAATCAGACACACTTTTTTATGCGCGTTCCAATGAGCTGCGATTCGTGGTAGACATGTAAGTTCAAGCTTAACTAAAATGCTCTAAGTTTTCAGTAATTAATGAACTAATTAAATTCGCTTAATTATTCAAATAAAAAACCAAGTTATAATCCTGATGAATATCTCTATGGCAGATTTGCGAATCTTTCTTCATGGGATCGAAAGTCATAAACGAAAATATAAACAAAGTATCGGTGTTTTCAGAGCTTCCTCTTCTTCTGCATTGTGGGCTGCACGCAAACAAATTCCTACCCCTTCACCTTTACGATTATAATGGCTCACAAAATTTATCCTTCAAATTGACGGATTTTCGTAAAAATCCGTACGTTTACATCAAATTAACAAAGGCGGACCTAATGCGGAAACAAAACGTAAGCATATGTATTTGCTGCGCTATAACATTACAAACCGATATATAACATCGAAAGATATCGACTTCCTTACGTTGAATTTTTAACATCGTTAATAAGGTAAATAATAAAAAAAAAATAATTAAATCAATTACATAATTACCGACAAACAATTTGTCCTGAGGAAAAAATTGAGTGTTTACTTATTTGCTTCTACTTTACAGCGTAGCTATATCCCACTCTAGGCAGGTTTTATTTGGTGATCAAGTAACTTTGGTGAAATTTTATCTTAAATGCACTAAGGTATACATTTTTTGCGATGAGGGTGGCGTTGTGCCCAGCCACCTTCAACGGCACAGAGCATGCGGTGGGTTCATCTTGCCGGCTTCCGAAATTCTATCCAAAATCATTTATTTCGTTGAGACCCTCCTTGCGTTTCGGCGATTGCTGAAGGAAGCAAAGACTGCTTTATTGTTTTCTTGCACTTAATAAATTCGCTTAATAACTCTTCGAGTATTTGCTTTCCAACCTTCCCCTTTTCCTATTCTATTCACCAATTATTATCTCAAATAATTATTTATAAACTTATGAGCAATTATATCACTTCAAAGACGTTTTCACGTGTCGGGGTCAAAATCACGAGAATTCTGGCATTAGTACACTCTTTTTCTGACAAAGATTTCTCCGTACTTACTCGGACGGTTGAGTACTGCTTTCTAACGCTATACAACCTCTACTAGGGCTGACTTGTAGAATAAGTAGGAAAATGCTAAAATACTTAACTCTCTGTATTGATTCGCCAATTAAAAACTGCTTAATATCAATTTTACCTCTTTGTTTCGATTTTTATAGAGCTTCTTATAATTTTATCAAAAAAATTTTATCCACTTGAGGAGCTTTTAATAAAATTATTCAATTCTGCGCCGATGGGCACAGTTTCGTCTTTTTTGCCGTAGAGTTGAAGCGCAATATATCCAAAAAAAAGAAAGTTAGGATACATCTAGATTTTCGCCTAGATTTTCTTATTTAAAATATATGATATAACTGATGGAAAAGAACCATTGACATATCTAAGTGCAGAAAGATCAGCAATAAAGCGCTAATATTTACAAGTGTTGCAGCATTGTTTATAAATGTTATCGTTTCCTCGTGATCGTTTTTTTATATTAAGGAGACTTCGAGTTGAGTTTTCCTAACTTGTTGTTGTTAAAACTGTTTTCCTAAAAAAATTTGTGAAAAAATGTCGAATAAAGCATACATGATAAACAATATCATCAGAAATACAGGCCAAACGATACCTCTGCATTTATGCGATAGTTAGACGCTATTCCCTAAAATTCGTTATGCACATAAATATATATAATCTTCTATTAACAAATGTAAGTAATGCGCTTATCAACACTATGGTGAGCATCGACTGGCGCGGTTTTCGCAATGGAAATTTTGAAAATGTAACATCGCTCCCTATAAGCGGAGCATACTCCAGTTTGAACTATGCATCTTAGAAATATTTATTCATGTCATGTTGCCAAAATATTGTATACCCAAAATGTAAAGCTTAATATGTTTCTATGCAAAAAGGGGCTTGGTTTAGTGTTCTGATGGGCTTCGCTTCATGCACAGGCTGCCCTACGATGATAAGGATGAAATTCGAAATTTATATGATCAGATATGAAATGCGTTTGTGATATTATATCAATCAAGTACAAAGTGTTTTAAATGTATAATTAAGCCGCGACCTAGAAAGAATATACGAGTGCTATGCCAGGTAAGTGTTAATTGAATTTTTAAAGCCGTTTCCGTGTGCATATTTAGACAAGTTTTAGGAAAGTAAGATCATTGAGAGATGTATGTGAAATGCCAAGACATCAAATCTATATATTCTTGTCCGGAAAACTAGCAAGATGAGGAGTAAGTCCCTACCGTCCTAGATTAATCCTTTGATCTTTTTATATCTTTTCCCAAAAGCCAAGAATTTATTTCGAAAAGCTGCCGTTTTTAATAAACAATTCTTTTGAAAATAATAAGCATTATGCGACTAAAAAACATCCCACATTACAAGTATTTAAGGTACATTCCACTTTTTAGCACAAAATAATCAACACAAGCGCCGTGTGTACGTGGCAAAACATAACCTTTAAAATATTTTAAATTTGTATGTACATATATACATACTCATGTTTATATGCAATTAAAATATTCATTCGATTTGCATATTCCTTGCACTTAATGCAATCCCTTCGGCAACAGGAGAAATGATTAAATGTTTTTTTGTTGGAGGGGAATTGTTTTTTCAAAATTTTATTCAAAGTATTTCGGAGAGTGGTTCATAATGGAAAAAAACTAAGCTTTATTTATATATATATTTTAAATTAATAAAATTTCCACCGATTGTAATTTTTCTTCGCCATAACAATGTACCGCAATTCTACGTTCGTCAATTTGTCTAGGTGATGAGCAACTAACACGTCTCTTGGATGACTCTTCCACCTCCAGCTAACGTTTTTCACCAGTATCGTCGTTATCATTTTTCGGGCGTCGTGTAGTAGCCGGACGACCTCTTGGTTGCGGCAAAGGTTCACTTAAGACCCCAGTTGTTAATGTACCCAATACAGTGAGCAGACCGAAAATGAAAAAAATACTTAAAAATTTCATTTCTCAAGTTGAAGTTAATTCAGAGCGTTTCTAATCAATACTAGCAATTTTTCCCGCGTTTTCAGTTGTCTTTATATGATTCCAAGCAAGCCATTAGAAGGAAACATGAATTTTGTCAGTTAATTGAAATTAAACGGAAAACATGTCAACACTATTTAGCTATGACGGGCATTGTAATCTGATGATTTATGTTATTTCGATCTGTTTAGATTTTCTTAATTGAGTTGTTTTTTCTAAAAAAACAATTGTTCAACATTTTCTGATGCTCTTTATCTATTATATTTCATCTTAATTCGTCGGGTGGAACAATCATTTATGTAAATAAAGCTTGTTAAGCCTCATTAAATTTAAAAACAATAAAACAAAAACGGGTAAAAAAGTTATGATTTTTTTTGATAACAAACCAACATCTAAAAAGTGTCAAGCATTTTGTCAACTGTAGATGTGTGAGCCGATCAATGGAGTTCTTTATAACAATGACTTTTTAGGTGATCGTGGGTAATAATTTCACCATGTTTCAATTCAATGTCTAGTAGAACATTTTACCCGTTCTCTAGGACAAACACGCCCATTTTTATACCTGCCACCCGTCCTTTGGTCAAAACGTTTGCAACGCCCAGACGAAAAATTCGGAGACTCCCACAAACTTTAGATGTTCCTATCAGCATCAAGTTGTCAGTCCCTTTGTCCGTCCGTTACGGCAACGTCTGTTATAAACAATCTCCTGACAGCAAAAAGAAGCTATTGACTTCAATGTTGGCAGAAATTTCGAAGTTTCTTGCAAGCAAATTCTGCCGAAGGACACACCTATAGTGCAGCGTAAGCTAAGAACACCTCTGTTTTTCAAATGGAATAAACACCCTTAAACCACAGCAACTAAACCTATGAAAAATTGCACAGTTCCTGTACAAAAATAGAAACAATACACAATACCCAATTTTACTGTGTGTCATAATTTCATTTTTTTCCAAAACCTTTATAATTCACACAAGCAAGTTTCAAAAGCCTCACAGAATAGGCAAATTTTTGGCCATTTTCCAACTCTGAATGCATCTGATCATGTCCGTTGTTTATTTACCCAACTGTGTAGTACCCGTGATACACATTATCCCGTTCGCAAAAATAAAGATTCGCTTACAAATTTGCAAAAGGAAGTTGAAAATGATCTAAATTTTTCAAAGGATACGTCTGGTCTCGCACCCCCATAGACTGCAACACATGTACTATATAAATTTCCACTTTTTTTAGGAAAGTAGAAAAAATCAATCCCACCCAGCCAATATCATAGAGCAAAAAAATTTACTTCTTTCCCTTTTTTTAGTCATTTTTAGCATTCTTTAGCATACCCACTTCCAAAGTTGGTCCGTCCGTCAACAATATAGCAGTTCTATGTACATGTAAAAAATATATATATATATAAAGTCAAATTTTGCAATCGTAGATGTTCCAAATATAGACGACAAATGAACAGAATATTACGCAGATCAAATATTTCTAAAAGTAAGGTTAATTCCATCGAATCGTTTTTAAAAGGTTCTATCAAATATTTTTATTAAATTATATATATATACACACGTCGTTTTTTAATTTATTGAAAATGAAATGTGTAAATTTCCTTAGCTTTTACATGAGTGAATTACTCCGATTTTAAACATAGATCCATGACCATAAACCACAAGTTCCAAATTTCTATCTTTTGTGAGCAGGATTATAACTAATTTTCCGACCTAACAGACACGAAAACTATATCAACAATTGCTGGTTGATTTATTTAACTTATATGGGTTCGGTCCACAAAATCCATTCACATCATTTGTCTATTGGACTATAATAAATGCTTTTAAGAAGTTTGAAATCAATATTCGTCATTGATGCGATTTCGTTAAAAAAAAAGAAAATTCTTTTCGATTTTGTTTTACTTTTCAAGCTATTATATTATAAGAGGAGGCGAAGCAATTCGTTGAATTGATTTTAAAATATATCTACAAGTTTGTAGCTTTCTCCCCCCATTTCAGTTGCTGACAGATGGATAAATGAGGCTTGATTGCACTGCGATGACGAACATTGTCCTTTACAGGAATCTGGAAAATTAGCACTTTCTAGAGCAAATCATTAATTTGAATAACTTTCGTGTGCCCTTTTTTTTTACTTTTGTTTAAAATTCTTGCCATATTCCAGTTTTCATTGACTTTACATTAACATTTCGACTTATTTTGGCTCAAAATGGGTTTCTAGCCAAGACTCTTCAAATTATGAAGACTTCATATGAATCACTTTTTACAACTTATTTATTTAAGATTAATATGGGCTTACTAAATACTTAAGTCTAGCAAGGTTTTGCCTTTCCGTCTTTTACTTGGATGGCTGGACATTTGTAAAGATATTTTTTGAATCTCTTGTCAAATTTCTTTTCTTGTCTTGCGTCTAAATCTTCAATTAAAAATTTAGCTTTGTAATCTTTTAATAATTGAAATTTTAAATTTTCTACAAATATGCCATCTTTTGGACGTTCAGCTACAATTTTTTCCATAGTAGCGGTCCACTGAAAAGCCTCTTTATAAAGTGTAGTTTCTCCATTTACTGCGTCAGGATTTTGATTGTTGCTTTCTTGTTTGTCTTGTTTCTTCTTTTTGATAGCCGGCTCTTGATTTGCGTCAGCATTTTCCTCCTTCGGCGAAATATTTTCAAGCGGGTTTTTTTGATTGGCGTCGAGCTTTCGTTTGTTCTGCTTTTTTTCAATCGACTCCTGTTGAGCTTTGTTAACATTTTGCTGAGTTGGTTGTTCGACAACATCAGGCGGATTTTTTACATTCTGCTTGCTTTTCTTTTTTTTTTTGCCAACCGGTTCCTGAGAGTCGTTCATTTTTCTCTTGCCAGGCTGCTCTGACTTCATAATGTTTTCAACAGTATGCTCTTGGCTGCTTGCACCGTTTTCATTAGCCAGCGCTTCCTTAAGCACTGGATGCTTGATTTCGGAGTCAGTTTCTTTTTTTGCGTCCGGTTCACATTTAACGGCTTTATTTTGCTTATTGTTTTCTAAGGCGGCTTTCGTTGCTGCCAATTCTTCCTGCTTGGCTTTTTTCATTTTTTCCAATTCCTTTTCTAATATTTCCCATACAGGCTCTGCATTTTTTGCGGGTATTCTCATGCAATTAGCAACGAAATTTTGAAATTTTGCCTTCTTCCTTGGCACATTCCCATAATTTTGCAATCGTTGAAAAATTTCACGCGTCTGAGCGCTTAGTTTATAATCAGTTGACGCCAGAATAGAACGAACAATATCCATCCAGGCATCCTGCTTCTTTTCCCCATTATTTTCCTTACGTACATAATCCTTACCGGAATACTTTTCAGCTTCAGTTATGCATTTAGTATGGGCTACATAGTCTTCTCCATGGAAATCCTTTTGACAATCCATGCAGCAGACATTTTTTACGCGTTTATTGCATTTGGTGTTGTAATGTTTTTCCACAACAGCTTTTTTAACAGATTCCCCACAATGGTTGCAAATAAAAAACACCATTTTGTTCAATTTATTTTTCTTTGTAAAACTTAAACAAATAGCCAGACGCACGTGTTGCCCACTGAAGAAGAGAAAAAGAAGACAATTTAATAACAAAAGTGCATAATGAAGTGATATAAATTTGGCAGCACTGAAATGAATAGATAGGGCTGCAAAGAAAAATGTTTTATCGTAGTCTATGTACGCAGTGAATGAAAGGCTTTTTTAAACATATTTGCTGTCTTCATCATGAACATATAAAATCAAAGGAATAAATAAAAAATACTTTTAATTTTTAAAATAGCTTAACACACATAAAAGACTATAACCTGAATACAGCGACTTGTTTCTTCATATTTGATGCGTTGAGAAAGAAAATTCAATTATTTAAGACATTTTCTTATCAAGTAAAAAACCAAATTTAAAAAAAAAAAAAAAAATATTTTAATACATGGAAACGACTCTTCGTCAGATATCAATAGATTTCCATCGACTTTTCAAATAATTTCGCTAAGTGCTCTTCTGTTTGTGTTCGCGGCGCTAATTTGGTAATACGTTCTTGAGGAAGAGTACCCTTCACCAAAATCGGTATATCATTGTTAGAAAAACCTAAACTCCTTAAACCATTTTCAATACCTGCTCGTTGCATATATTCTCGTATAGTATCACCTAGAATTTTGCCCGCATCTATTGCGTGGGCATTGCTAACGTCAGCGCCCAATAGGGAAGCTGCTTCAAGATGCCGGTCAGGGCATGTGGTGCCGAGAAATTCGAAAACTGCCGGTGCTGTCATAACTACCGAAAGACCATGCGGAATGAGAGGATAGTCAACGTTATAATCGTTTGGATGAAATTGACGCACCATACCCGATATGGGATAGGAGAGAGCATGCGGCAGGTGAACGCCTGCATTACCGAAACCAATACCTGCCATCGTAGAAGCCAAATGCATTCTTGAGCGAGCTCTTAAATTACCCGATTGATAAATTGCAGGCATCAAGTTGTCGCGTATAGTGTGCAAAGCAAAACGAGCCCAAACATCAGAAATAGGATTACGCCCCTGATAGGGAGGTCGTAGACTAGGATCACTGGGGGCAAGATCACGTTGTCTGTAATCGATTGCCGTGAAGCTTTCCAAAGCATGACAAAAAACGTCAAAGCCACTATACGCAGTTACCCTTTCCGGTTGGGTTAAAGTATGTATAGGATCAATTAAACCTGCAAAAATTCATTATACATTATTAGGGATGTTAGCTTTATGTAAACAAGTGTTTGCGCGAACCTAATGTTGGTTTTAAGTATTTACTTGAAATGCCAGTCTTGCAGTGAAGTTTTTTACAGTCAAATATCACTACGCCTGTAGTCTCGGAACCCGTGCCACCGGTAGTAGGTATTGCTATTAAAGGTTTCAATTTGATATTCACTTCTTTGCCTTTCCCCACCGGCTTATTAACGTAGTCTAAGAATTCTGCTTGTTTATCTGAAGCAAATAAATTGGCTGCTTTACAGGTGTCAATAGATGAACCTCCACCTATGGCTACAAAAGCATCAAATTCTTTTGCTCTAGCAAATTGTACTGCTTGCCAAAGGCTCTCATCTGTTGGTTCAATTCTAGTTTGATCGTATACGTCAAATTCAATTCCATGACGTTTTAAAGCATCAAATGCTGTCTTGACACTTTTCAATTTAACCACATTCTTATCGGTTACCACGCAAACAACCTTGGCACCCATATTGTGAAGGTCAGCACCCAATTCACCGCTAACACCTGGACCAAAACGTACAATAGACGATGACATCTAAACGAAAATGGAAGAGATTACAGTAAACTCGTACATCATATAACATACGGTTCTTACCTCAAAAGCATATTCCATCTTTGCGGCGGTCTTTGCTGCCGTGGAGCCATAATTGAGTGAATGAGCGGGACACCGACAACTTCATTACAGAATAAGTTTTTAAACGGATTAAAATTTACCAAGTACTTGTGAAACTTACGCATTCGCTGTTATGGTGTTTAAAATGCTTAAAGCTTTCCTGTGAGACATTTTGCTTTAAAAAAATTTCGCAATATTGACTTAAGTTATCAAAATATTTGAAAAAATCATTTGAGACGCGACTTTGCTGAGGAAAGTTAGCGTAATGACTGGATTTTATACAAAATATGCTCCCTTTGATATATAATCACGTCGTTGTATGGTGATAAAGGCGCCATACATTAAGAACTTGAAACTTTTGCAAAGCGAAGAGAAAATTGAGAAGAGAGTTTCATGCATAAGATCGTAATGTAAAATTTTTATGCTCTTCATTAATTTTCAATTGTTTTGCAGTTATCAGAGAGCCTGACTCTTTGCCAGGTCTTTGTTAATCTGGACATTTTCTGTTAAAAAATAAATTCAAGAGCTGATGTTTTCTGCCGATATCCGCAACGAACCAAAAATCCTTTTGATTATATCTTTGCTCATAAAAGGAGAGTAAACTTTTTTAGTTAGATTGTGTGGTACAAGGAATGTAGTTATTAAATTTGTAGACTTCTCTTGTGGTGTTATTATACCCAGCACTTTAGGATGGGGGTACGCTCATTTTGTTTTCTTCCATTATAATCTGCAAAACCCAAAAGGAAGCTTCAGAGACTCTATAATGTATATATTTTCTTGATCAGCGTAAAATTCTAAGTTGATGATATTTCTGTTTCGTAGCTTACTGCATTTTCACTTCTAGCGAACTTAATCATTTCCCTAGCTTTAGCTGAATTTTTTTGCAGTGTCCCGAATGACATGATATCTAAGTTATCTATACCCGAAATTTCGGGCAAATTGAACGCGTCAGTTACAGCGGAATGAATTTATTTACACAACTAATAATATTTCTCAATGAGTTTAAAAATAAAAGAAAAAGTTTTTTTTGTAAATTTTTTTTTATTTTTTTTTATTAATTTTAAATACTATTTCTAAAATTTATAACATATTTATCGAAATGTTATTTACTGATTTAAAAAAGAAAAAGACAAAAATAATTACAAATAAAAATTAAATTATAATCGAAAATAAAATTTTACAGGAAAACGAATTTTTAAATATATGTTTATGTTAAAATAAAAATATTTTGTGTTCAACGGGGAAGGAAGGAAGGAAGAGATTATTTAAAATTTCAACACTTTAGTGATAGTTGTTGCTGTTGTTGGGTAATTTTTAATCTAGAACGTTTTTTAGGTTTAACGATAATTGTTGCTCTGGGGATTAAAAATTTTGCTTTTGATTTTATTGTAGAAGGCTGTTAATATATCGTATACCAAATATTTAAGTTTAATGGCACTTGACGATAGACTGAAGAAATTAACCGACATTAAATGCATTTTAAGAGGAATATATGTGTATATAAATATCTATATATTTTGCTGTTTTGTTAACTAATTATTGCTTTTTGTGATTTTCTTTCAACAGATATATTAATGATCATTTTATCGTAATTAGTGTTATATAATATCGATTAAGTACACACATTATATATATGGAAATTTTTGATTTCTCTTTTCGTCTCTTTTTTCCTTTTCAATTTGTGGCTAATTGGAATTTTACACAATCTTCTGTTTCTTTCCTTAATACTTTTCTCTTTTTTCTTTTTCATCTTTCATTATTTAATTTTCTTTATAAAATTTGAAACAAACAAAAAAAAAAAATCTATTAATATATATAGGTGTAGATAGAGATATTTTTTTTTGTATGTCGCATATTATTATTATATCATATAGGTTATCTATAGTATTTGTATTACAAATGGTTAAAAGTTTAACCTAAATCGTATAACTTTCGATTTTCCTCGCTTCTCGGAAACTTCTTTGCTTGTTTGTTGTGTATCTCTCCTAAACAAAACAGATAGTATTTAAAATGATTTCGCAGCTTTTCCTCCCACTCTCCCGCTCTCCCGCTCTCCCGCACTTTTAATCATTGCTTTCCCACCCACTTTTATCATTTAAAGTTTAGACTACACTAATCGGAGCATAACGATGCACTTTGGGTTGTTTGGGCTCTTTGGGTGGCTTGATTTCTTCGCTTAGTTTCTGATAGACTATTGAATTTTTATGGGCTTGCAGCAGAGACATGCGATAGCGTTCGCCGCGTTTCCGCATAACCATCGACACCACTTTAGCGATGATCAGTAATAGCAATAGAACGCTAGTTACTATAATTATGATGGGTATCATAAATCTGTAGCCACTATAGTAAATGCGACCATGCTCGATAATGAATTCTTCGTCATCGTCTTCGTCATCATCATCATCATTGCTGGCCTCTTCTTCTTCGTCCCGGATAATATTGTTCAAATGTTTTTCTTGTTGAGCTAAAAATTTGTCTGAAATGAAAATTTGTTGAACAAAGGTGAAATGGAGACAAATAAAGACATTATAGATGGCCGTGAATGCCCTACACCACTTTCCTTAACATTTATTCATCGATTTTCCAAAATTAGGCGTTACATGGGAAGTGGTGGAAAAAGTGGTCCAATCCGGCTTTCGTCATTGGTTCAAAACATATCGGCGCACCGAAAATATCTCAAAACTTTGCGATCTGTGGGTTGAAGACAAGAAAAAAATACAGACAGACGGACAGTCAAACTTAGATCGATTCCGGAATTCTATCTCATTTTTGAATGTTACACACGGAAACAGCGAGCGCAAATGCACAACAACGGTCGACTTTCCGATAATAAATAAAGAAGGCGGCTTTATCTCTGTTATGGTCAAAGTCTTCATCTTTCCTTAAGATTTAGAGAGAGCTTTAGGTTATTTCGAAAGAATTCTGCTTAAGACTAAGCCAAGGAAACGCCATGCTTTAATGCTTTAAAATTGCATAAAAAGAACGGACGAATCATACGGTCTATCAATGGCATACTCATTCAGGCCAATGGCGAAACACTAAGCCTCGGAAATGTAATGGAAAGAAATACAATGAGAAGCGTAGGACACAGATGGATAATGAAACAACGAACTTGACGTTTTCATAATCTTTGCGATTATTTCAAACCCTTACTTACCCAGTAGATATTTGTTTTCAGTTTCTTTACTCAGATCAATTTCCTCAACCTTAACGCCGTGATCTTTAACATTTTTGGAAATCTTGGCTTTCTTTTCGTAATCTTCGTATTCATCATCATTGGCTGCGATATCTTCTGGCTCCTCCTCGTCGTCATCGTCAGAATAACTGCTATCGGTGTCATCGTCTTTTATTTCTTCGGCATTATTGTACTTCTCATCAGTGTCTTCTTCCTCCGCGTTATCTGCACGGCCTTCGTCATAGTTATCACTTAAAGCTTCGATCAATTTTTTCTTCTTTTCCGATTTACCTCTCAAGATCTTATGGGATTCGAGATCTTCTAGTACGGTCAACAATTGCTTATCGTTTTCATCTTTTTCGTCTTCAGTGTTGTATTTCGGTAACTTATTTTTCTTATTGTATTGATTTTTCGGTTCTGTCTCGGTCTCCAAGTGCTTGCAAATATGGTGAGCCAATGAAGACCAGCCTAGTTCGGCCTGAATTTTAGGTGAAGTACTCTCAGCAACAATGCTATCCAAGCTGGGCATTTTGTAAGGCATAATTTCGGTGTTTAACGATACGTAACCGATAAAGTCTTGGAAGCCATCGTTGCACTTAATTGGATTTTGCGTTATATCCAGGCTACGTAAATTCTTAAAGTTGCGTACATCCACTGAACTGATTTTACGAATTTGATTGGCCGAGGCATTGAACGAATGTAAAGTCTGATAGAATTTATATTTGCGTCCCACACCAAATTGATTATCGCTTAATAGAGAAGTCAGCTCACAATCACTAACATCAAGTTCGCGTAATTTATTGAAAGGCAAGAACAAACGTACGGATAGCTTGCGGATAGGATTGCCGGCCAAGTTCAACTTGGTTAAATCGTTGTTTCTCATAAAGATGAGATCGTCTAGTTTGCTTATCAAGTTATTACTCAAATCAAGATCAATCAATTTTTTCAAACTGGCGAACGTGTCGCGATCCAAGTTATTGATATTATTCCAGGCTAACTTTAAGGTGGTGAGGTGAGGCATTGTTGAGAAGGTTTTATGTCCTAAAGCTCCAATGGCACAATTCGAAATATCAAAGTAATAGACCGTAAAGTAACCATTATGGCTGCGGAAGCCGTCCGTAGGTAATTCGCTAAGACGCGGATTGTCATTCAAACGTATAACATCCAAGCCAGCATTTTTGTAAAAGATCATACTTGATATCTTATTCAATTCATTGATCGACAAATCGATGTGACGTAAATTCTTCAAACTCAAAAAGGAATCGGTCTGAATTTTCGTTAGTCCATTACCCTTCAAATTCAAATTGGTTAAACCAGTCATTCTATCGAACATACCGTGATGAACCTGATGGATTTGATTGAAACTCAAATCCAACTGTTGTAGATCGGCGGTAGCGAAACGTAAATCATTTGTAATCGAATTATATTTCAAATGCAAGATAGCTAAGGCGGTGCCGTTAAAGATATTCGCAGGCAAGGACTTTAACGAATTGTATGACAAATCTAATTCCTCTATAGTTTGCAATTGATCGAAGATACCTTCCGGTATTTTCTGTAAATTATTTTGCGATAAATTAATGTAAATGATATTGCTGAGCTGCGAGAAGGCGTGAGGATTAAGCTCCATGAGATTGTTACGCGACAAATCCAATTCTTCCAAGCTGGACGACTGCAAAGCAAGTAATAATGAAAAAACGTATTACATAAACCGTAACTCACGCTTAAGCTCATCAATTTTTAAATACCTTAAGTAGATAGTGTACACTAGACATGACACTCAAGTCATTACCAGTTATGGTTAATAAGCGTAATTTTTTATTTTTCGCAAATGTATCCGGGTTCATAATAGCCAAACCGACATTTGTTAAATTCACGGCATATAACTCATCTAAACCCGAAAAGGCATCCGGATGCAAATATTCTATCGAGCAATTGGCGATTTTAATCGATGAAACGTACTTTAAGCCCAAATCCAAGAAGAAATTTGGACCCAATAGTATGGGATATTTGGGGCTAACGTCTGTTACCACCAAATCGGTTATATCTTTGCCGAATTTCTGCGTTCCAGGATCAATGCTACGTGAATAATAAGAAAAGTGAAAATAAATAAAATTGATTAGGAAACCTTGATGGCGTTCGCTTTACCGGCTACAATAGGCCACCAAGTAGCTGTTGACATTACGTTCACATATACAATATCTAGGACAGGGAACGCTTTGAGTGAATTCGACTTCTTCTTCATCATGGATACTATTTACGGTATCGAAATCCTCATCATCGTCGTCATCATCATCGTCGTCGTCATCCTCGTCATCGTCCTCGTCGTCATAGTCGTCTTCATCTGAATTAAGAGTTTTCTCATGACTTTCAATAGCATTAGATTCATTGTTATCCAAATTCAAATCTTTAACAGTGGAAGTCTGCAATAAAAATAAAAATAAAAAACAACAAAAAATTAATTCCTGATAAAATCGATCATTATATTTTTATCATTAACTTACTTTGATATCTCCCTTAATGGGTTTCATCTGAACTCTAAATATTTCTTTAGAATTATTCAATTTCGTTTTGCCTTTTGTCTTTTTGGTTGCCTTTGTACTGGCGGTCGTACTTGTAGAGCTTTCATCATAGCTATCATATATATCATCGTCGTACTCGTAATTGTCATACTCATCATCGTAATTGTCATCTACAGTTTTACTGGTGGTGGTCATAGCATTAACACGCTTTCTGAAACGAAGACCAATAACAATGCAACTACAACTAAAGCGCCTGAAATTGTTATCAATAGAAAGCGTGTTCGTCGGTATTGTTACATTATATTTCTCTTGAGGCGTTGATAGTTTTATGTGCGATTTAATTAAGTCTGTTTGGCTTTCATCATCCAAGTCCAATAGATTGTTTGGTATATCATCGTGCACGAAATTATATGGAAGCGGCGTGGATGTAAAGGCTACTTGCACGACCTCTAAGGTGAGGAGCAATAGTAGCACCAGTCGCGACTGGCGTAACATTGCGCTATGCTGAAAGGAAACAAAATATATTTTACATATTTAATGTAAATACGTATGTTAATATGTAATGTGTTGTATATTATGTACAGTATATAATATATTATTTACATGCATTACGAGATAAACAGGCAAACTTTTTCGAAGTAAAAGATTTTATTTCCATTAGCTTGAACTAAAGTAATATATTTCTCATTGATGTGCCATCAAACGGACGCAGATCCTTCTAAGCATTACCGTGAAGGCTTGCCCCACGGCTTGTGAAAAGTCACTAATGCGGGGTATAAAGTAAAAGCTTTTTTTGTAGAACTTATGACTTATCTTTTAATTTTTTTTCAAAATTGCACTTTAATCTTCAGTCAGTCGTTGTTGTGTCATGTGATGCATCATCATGTCATATGTGCTTTTTCGCAAAAACTCATTTGTCGAAGAGGGGAAAGTATTATGCGGGAAAGGAGGCCTTCTAAAAAACTTGTACCGATTTTCCCAAGCAAACAAGACTTCAGACAATCTAAAACACGCTTCGACATGCTTCTTGTCAGCGAACAGGCTTGTTTGGAATCTCAACGAAACGACTTGTAAAAAATAAGTTTTCCATAAATAACACAACGTCTTTCTAATTTAGAACAAGTGGAAACACTGTAGTGGGACGCCGCCCACCAATATAGATCATAGACCACTTTGTTCAATACAGTTATTTATAGAACGACTTTTTAAAACAAGACTTTATATGGGGAGTCATCGAAGCTATGATCCGTTCCGAATCTATTTCAATATCGCTCGTTCTCGGCCCAAAACATGCCGGTGTATCAAATTTCATCGAAATATTTCATAAGTTTACGACTTGTCGTTTGAACGCGAGAAACCAAGACGGACATACGGACAGACAACTTTAACAGCGAAAACAAAAATTTATCCTAAATCCGATCGGTATAATAAAAGGTAGGTCTACCGCACCTCCTCCTGGGTGTTGCATACATACGGACAAACTTTACATAACCTTATGCTAGTCCGGGGTGTGGAGTGTAAAAAGTATTGTTGACCTTGTTGGTTGGTTTAGAATCTATCCATCTACATATCTGTATATATGTAAGCGCATGACGGTATTTCAAACAAGGCTAAACTAAATCTACGGAAATTTATCTATGAGTTTAATATGCAAAAGTAACAAATATCTTTCATGTTTTTGTTATGTTGTTTTCAAAGCAAACAAAAACAAAAAATCTAATACATGAAGTTATTTGTTTAGAGGTTTTTTTTCTGGATACGTGATTTGAATATTGAATTCTTTTCGAATTTAAAATAAAAAGTAATGCAGTATTAAAACTTTTTTAAGGAAATTGAAATATACACACATATATATACATACATAAATGAACGAGTTTACATACATTTGTATACAGCACAAATTTATATATATATATATATATATATATATATATATGTATGTCGCACATACATTATATATTCCGGAATATTAATCACGTGATTTAAAAATTAATCTACAGAATTAGCGAACACCTGATGAAATAGAGAAAGCGCCAGTGGCAACTCGAAACCAGGGAGAGCGGATATCGTTCGTGCTCCTAAATCTTAGTTTTAGAGAAAGCAACAACATCATCTCCAAACTAGGGACAATGAACACCGCCTCCGTTTCGAAATGTTGGCTTATAGTCATAATAAGACTCTGCAATATCAATTTTTCATAAAAAAAAGTGCCAAACATAATTGATTGTGTCAGAATTTTTAAAGGCCATTGTTGCCTCGTACCCAGTTTTTATACCCTACCTTAACATACCTTGTACAAGAGTATATTAAGTTTGTGCGGATGTTTACCAGAAGGACATGAGATAGGTTCATGTTTTATAGTGTTGATTGTCCGTCCATCTGTTCATGTTTTCTTGTGTTCAATCTACAGATAGACACACGTTTTATTACACTAAACGATTTAGAGTCACTTTCTGGGACGATCTAATTTTGTCGGTTCCTCTGCCGTTCGTATTTTCTTGTGCTTAACTTGCATTTTTTGAGTTAGTTCGATGAAATTTGGTATACTATTTTGGCTGACGCATGGACGCTGTTGAAAATGACTCGGATCGGACCACTTATTCGATTAATTTACGCCTTATTTTGAGAAGTTTTTATATGAATTACTTTAAGTGCAATCATTCCGTGCATCCACTCTGTTGAGGTTCGATTATTTTGAAAGAACATTTAAATTGATTTTCCTTTTTTGTATCAGCGGCCTCATATCCCTAAAATGCTAAAATACAATCTATATCAATCATACCGTAAATAATCTTCGTAATATCGTTTCAAAACTATTTCTTTTGCGCCCTTTGCCATTTCTTTTCTGTACTACGAAAAAAGAAAGAGGATCTTTTCATATAAAGTTCCGCAATTGTTGGACTCTATAGAACAGATTTCTTCTTCTCTTTTTTTTTAATGTTCAGGCGAGTCAATAACAGTTGATTAACCGCATCGCAAAAAAATTATAAATTTATGGAATTCATTCAAAAAATACTTTTTCTTCAGTTTTTGCAAGTTGAGAAGAGACAAAAAAAAGAAAATGATTAAACATATGTCCGGCGTCCTTGAAAGCGTAATAAGACAAAAAAAAAATGATTCATCTCAATCTCTGGTATTTGGTAGAAAGCATTCAATCCACTGAGGAGAGAAACAATTAATCATTTTTTGTTTAAAGCAATCCGTTCAAAGTACACCTAATTCTGGCTTTACAAGAAAGCTACATTCCCAAAAGACTCGCGGAAAACAAGATACTGGGTAGAGGGAGAAATAATAGAATGGTTCCAGACCCAAAAAAGCAGCTGAAAAATACGATAAACAATTTTAAAAAATTGTTGTTGGAGTTCATTTAAGAATTCATTTCGTTCCCTTACATATGCTAATAATCGATATAATCTGACTGAATTGTGAAAAATATAAAGCGAAGTTACAATCCTTATTTGCAACGAGTAAGAACAAAAACATTCATAAAAACATTAAAAAAAGAAAAAATTTAACGCAAAAATTCATTAAAAAAATTCAAAGAATCTTGAAAATCGTTTTGTATCAAAACAATTCGTGTAAAAAGAGATTTTCTTTTTAATTCGTGTTAAATCAAATTTTGTGCAAAAAACTTTGTGTACAAAGAGAATTAGGCATAAATATCTTATCAAGTTTATACAGTCGATAGGAAACTATGCAAAACAAGTAAGAACATTATAGTCGGGCAAGGCCCAATTAAAAACCCTACATCACATTGTCTAACGCAATTTTATTTTTCTTTGAAATTACTATTAGGGGTCAATTTTTATCACCCCATGTTAAAACTTAGGTTTCTCTACAAAGGATCGATTTTAGTAAAAATCCTTATTAGGGTAGCATCCAAAAAATAGGCCGAGATGGTCCAAATTTGGTATAGTTAACCTTTTTATTTGAATTACAGAAGTATTGAAAATTATACCTTTTCGTCAGTTTTCGTGAGTTCAAAAATTGCTCCAGCCTGTCGGAAGTTTTCCCTTACTTAACTTAACTTAAAATGCCGGAATACTTAGCCATTCTTGCTGAGAAACTTTGAAAATTGGAATTTTTTCCAAATATTACGCCTTGCAAAAATAGGGCCGTCATATGGGGAGTGGTCGAAAAAGTGAACCGATCTGAACCATTTGCAATAGCATTCGTCCTTGGTCACTGTAGCAAATTTTGTCAACATTTTTCGAAAATTGCCGCTCGTAGCGTGAACACAAATTTACATTAACAGACGTCAGAAGGACAGACGGAGAGGCAGGTTTGGATCAATTCCGATTATGATTCTGCATTGATCGGTGTAATAATAGGTAAGTCTATCTTAAGCCCTTCTACGTGTTACATATGTCCGCGCTAAATTAATATACCCCGTAACTCATGTAAGGTATATAGTGAACGAATCAATTTTAAAGAAGAATTAATCGATAGTTTTTTGGTATATTGAGGGTGATAAGAATGAAATTTAAACGAATTAAAAGCAATTCGTGTGCAAAACTTTTCATGTGACTACTTGTACGCACCGTACACTTATCTATTTAACGAAATGATTAATTTTGCATATTTTTTTGTTTTTTAAAATGTCATTAAACCATTAAAAATATTTTACCTACAGATTGCAATTTATCAGTTTAAGAATATTGTTTTTCATTTTTTTCCTTGACTATTAATATTTTATTAACATTAAATGACATCATGCATTATGGTCTAAACTTCCAACAAATGGCAACAAATAGTGATAGCATTAAAAAGGAAAAAAATGCGCTTAGGCTTGTATTGAATATTTTGACACTCGTTTTTTGCACACATATATTATTTAAGGCATGTAAACCAAAAGCGTTTACAACGAGGAGTTAATTTTGTAAGTTTCTAAGCGCATAGAGCCACTTCACTTCACTTCACTTCACTTTAGGGCAATAATTGAAGACAATATCCATAAAAGAATTCCTTATATATTGTAAATGAATTAACAAAGTTAATATATATAAATATATATATATATATATATATTATATAGATATATAACATGCGAAAAGCCGCTCGCTTGCATTGTTTACAGAAATAATTGAAAAATTAGAAATTTAAATAAGAATTGCAAATGTTTAATTACAATAAAATGCGATTTCATGCTTGAAAAAATTTATTATAATTTATGAAAATATAGTCACAGACAACATAACACGCAACAAAAAAAAAGAAGCAAATTGAAATTTTAATATCCATGACTATAATAAAATTATGTACAGGTATTAAAAATTTTTTATTTATTTTTAAAATACAAAATATCTGCATACGGTCTATACAATACATTATATTTAATTAGAGCAATGTAAAATTCTCAGTAGATTTCGTTTACTTAGTTTTTGGTTTCAAGTTTCTTTCCACTGCCAAAGGCTAACTCGAATATTGACGAAAGTATTTTAGACGGACGTACATTGAAGAAAAAATTTAAGTAAAAACATTATAGCACGACACGGCGCATGATT